CCCTTAGGGGGTGAGCAGTATACAAATGGAAATAAATAAATAAATAAATATCTCCAGCCTGTGCATGATCATCTGGCCCCAGCGCTGTGGGTCCTACTTGGTTGGTCAATGGCCCTCCATCCACCTAGGAGGCCCTCTTGCCTTGTCACCATTAGTCCCTCTATAGGAAGAGGGGGCCAACGTAAGGCCCTTTGCCAGAGCAATTTTGGCTTTCTGTCCTGTCCTGGAGGCAGAGTGGTAGTGAGGAGGGCTCATGTCATAATCTGAAGGAACAAAGAAATAAGTCATTTATGTGAACATTCAGTTAACACATTTTTCTACATAATGATAGTGTCCTGAATTTTTCAAAATGCTGTTTTTCAAGCTCATTACAGGAGGTGAGTCCTCAGTTGGCAAATTTTCTGAAAGAATATAAAACACAGGTGCTAAACTGGTAATTAAAAAAAAAATATTTTGAAGATGCTCACTTCAGAAATGCTATTTTCCAACCTCATTTTGGTCATTCCTGAGAGTTACGTCATGCTTTATAAAAAGAACAAAATGGCCTTTGAAAGTGTTTCATTTCTTCACAATGGACTAATTTTGGAGTAGTGACATTTACTTCTCCCTGCAGTGAAGCAACGTACCTTTACATAGTTTATCTAATCATTTTAAGTACAATTAACATTAGGCTGCATCATAAAAACTATTGTTTCATTTTTTACTACTGAAATAACTGAAGTTGTTATAATATTGGCAGTGATAATGTTACTAATTAATGCAAACATTTTCATTAGTTCTGCATTGCATTCTGTAATGCACTGCAGTTTTCCTTTCTGAAGTATACAAGTGTCTGATGTAGATACAACAGAGTGTCCACAGGTCATGAGTTCATCACAACATCAGATGTCAGATATGGTGAGATGAAATTTGGAACGAGTTTTACAATACATATTGTCCACCCTGTTTTCTGAGGTGCAAGTAGGTTTGGAATATTACTTATTGCTTTCCTCCACACCACTGACTGAGCTCTCTTTTTATACAGCTCTAGTGTATATAGCATCATTTGTAGAAAGCAATGAGACCCAGTTTAGTGTAGTGATTAAGAGTGGTGGACTCTAATCTGGAGAACTGGGAGAACTCCTCCATATTAGGCCATTTGGGTGACCTTGGGTCAGTCACAGTTCTCTCAGAGCTCTCTCAGCCCCACCTACCTCACAGGGTGTTTGTTGCGAGGAGAAAGGAAAGCGATTGTAAGCCACTCCAAGACTCCTTCAGGTAGAGAAGAGCAGGGTATAAAACCAATTCTTCTCCTCCTCCTCCTCCTCCCCCCCCTCTTCAGGTGTCTGACATTTGCCAAACAAAACTATTCCCTTACTGCAGCAGCATGAACTGAGAAGGCTGACATCTTACAGCTAAACTGCTGACTTGAAGGGTTTCCTTTTCTTTTGATAAAGATCACCATTTCCTAGGTTTTTAAGAAGACCATGATGGGACCAAAATGCTTTCCAATCTTATTTCCTTTCCATACCCTGCAGTGTGGGAGACCATATCACAGCCTACAACTGCATGAACTGGGCTGATGAAAAAGACGAGTTCCATTTGACCTCCGAAAAGGCAGTTCCAGGGATCATAGGATCTGCATAGACAAAAGCCATGTGGGATTGGGGATCTGCATAAAGAGAGCAATTGGGTAAGCTTGAGGAAGACAAAGTTGGTGGGGTTCAGCTCAATGTGATTATGTCAGTCAGATCTTCTATTAAGTTGGACAACTTAGGCTGAATCCTGCAGATCCCACTCCACTAGCATGAGTGACAGAGGAAGGCTCTTTCTGCCAGAAGAAAGTATTTTCAACAGATCCAACCCCTTGCCACAGTTGGTAAATACAAGAATATTGAATAGGGTTTTGCCGGCATGCCTGATTTAGTCCACAATCTTTCACAAGTCATTCTGCTGAAGAAGCCAGTGACTGTGCAATAAGATCAGAGAAATATGCTGATAACTGTGTTGGCACTAGCGTGCCTAGATTGCAGTACAATTCTTGGATAAGCCACCTCATGTACTTGTACTCACAGTGGGATTGGAAAACTTCACTTTGTTGTCTTCTTTGGACCCTCTGAAAACAAGTGTGATCTCATTCTTAGGTTCCTGGAGTATGAGTTGTTCAGAGAAGAAACAAGCAAAGTCAGCCTTATTATCTCGGAGGTACAAGACATTTGGCTAGTTTCTTGGAAGTGGAACAGTTCTTCTACAGTCCGTCTGCTTGTTTATCCCATCCTTTGTTTGATAGATTCTAATCCGTACCTCTCAGATGTAATGTGTATCTTGTCAATGTCCACTGGGAGATTTTGTAAAATTGTCAGCTAGGTCACTGAAACTGGTACAGTTAGAAGGTTTGTCTAGTGTCCTGCCTTTTGAGGCCCCAGAGCCCCATGCTCTGGTGTGCAGCTTCATGGACACCCAAGCTTTCCATAATGAAGGGAGAACTTTCCTCATCACACAGGCCCTACTGTCTTGATGGTAGTGTTCAACTTTACTTAACCCGTTTTCCTTTCTTAGATGCAGCTCTGTTCCCTTCTTTGTAGCAGCCCTTGCTTGTGTAGCCCCTTATGTTTATATCACATGAATAGCTGATGTGGTTCCACATGTCCCAACCACCTTCTGTTACAGTACTGGAGGTGCTGGCCTGCATCCTACTAAGCCCTTCATCCTTCCCATTCTTCTCTGCAAGGGAGTGAAAGATGCTCGTGATGCCATACAGGAGAACTAACTTTCCCCACTATTTTCTGTTTCACTCCCGGTGAGCTACAGCCCCCAATATACTTGAGATGATTCTTTATATAGCCTCTTAGCATAGGTAGGTTCACATCAGCTTGCTGACAACTTGCTAATATCACTTCCAGCACACACAGATACATTTCTGGTTGATACGGTAAACTTTTTGCTGACTTGTCTGTTGCTGACCTGTATCCCCTTTAATACCACCCCACATTTTTTGTCCCGGAATCATGACATGGTGTACATCAAGTGCCACTTCAGGTCATGTTGCATTTTTTTGAAGTTTCACTACTCTTCCAGCTTCACAGTCCATGATTAGGCAATGCAAGATGTTCCAATCAGCTTTTACAGAAGAATCCTTATCTTCTGTTTGTTTCTGCTCTGTACAAATGCTGAAGCCTTTACCTTCTTTAATGGAGCATTGGAATTCCATTTGCAAATTTCCTTCTTTGGCTGCATGAAACTTTCCTGAACAAAAACAATCAACTGCTTCCAACCCAGTTGTTCAGCTCTATGCAAAGTATCAATTATTATTCATATCCATGATTACAGTTGCATGAAGAGTTGTAATGGCTGGGGCAAGATGCATTTTCCCAAAGCTTTGAACACTGTACATTCATGACCATGATTTTGTTGTTTTCATGCAATAGTCAAATCATTGTGGGTATACAGTACATATTATCATATCTGTGAAAATATGGCATTATTCTTCTGAATGCATATGGATTCATGTCTCTTAGCAGGAGAAACCATGCCCATCTGTTGACACCTGAACTGAAAATTAAGATTGTTGACTGCGCTGTTTTGCAAAAATGCTGCAGTGAGTCAAGGAAGTTAGTCATGACTAGGTTTTTACAAGATCATCACAATCATTACATTTATGCAGTTCTGCATTAGTCATCAGATTCTTCCCTGTTATAGTATGTGTAGAGGGAAAAGAAAAGGAAGCCTGTGCAATCTGAATTTCCTCCTGCTACAAGCTCGTTTAGGAACCAGAGCATTGTTATTTTAATATCTGAGTCCTGATTGAATCCAGCCATTTGAATTAATTCAATTCAGTTTTTTTAGGTCTTCATAGGAGAACTCAGTTTCATAAACAGAATATTTGGATTCAGCGTATTCAGATTAAGGTTTTGTTCAAAAGCCCTGTTCACCAACTTTTTACCCACAATGCCTCTTCTTAAGGATGTTTCTGAAAAATTGTTCCAGACTATCAGATGTCATGGTTTGTATCAGATATGCTTCAGAACCAATTCAGAGTGTCTGGAGAACAATAAACAAAATAATCTGGATTCCCCCAAATTATACCTGGCTCCACCCATCTCTAAATTAACATGAATCCAGAAGGGAATAATGATATAATCCAGAAAATGGCCTTTAAAGCTAATTCAAATCAGGCCCCATTATTTTACCATGGGGCCAGTATCTTCTGAGGGATTTCCTGTTGAGGATGAGAATGTTATCACTGGGGTGTTCATTTTCCCTTCTGGACTGGCACCTTAGTAGAAAGAGGTCATGTTGTTGTGATATATTCCATGTGGGACCACCCTTGAGCCTGGCTGTGCAGGGAAGGGTGGGTTAGAAATCAGAAATCTCAGAAAATAAATAAAAATGACTTGGGCACAGGAGCATCTCACACCCATTCTGTGCTCCCTTCACTGGCCACTTGTTTCCAGGTCCAAATCAAGGCGCTGGTGCTTACTTTAAAGCTCTCCATGATCTGGGGCCCCACAAACCTGTGGTACATGTATATGTCCATGTGGCAATTCCATTTCACACAGCAAAACTTCCTAGCTGTTCCTCCTCTTTGCTCTGCCACAACCTGTGTGTAGACTTGCTTAGTGGCCACAGAAAAACAAAGATAAGTGGCAAAAGATTATGGGTACACTGGCCAAATGAACATGCTTTCCAATAATGTATTTGTTTCTTATCATATCTTAGCGTTTACTTTTGTGCTAGGTTGCTTATATGAAGATATTTATCTTCATGTTGCATCGCACAATTGTTTATCTTACATCACATTTTCAACATTTCTCAGGGGTTTTTTTAATTGATTTCCACAAGGTACTAATGCAGTCATTGTTCTTGGCTGAAGACTCTGTTGGGGCACTGGGCACTTTTGACATTTCAAGTGACTTATGAAAACTCCAAAGGAAAACGATGATTATTTCAAAAGCTTCATTTATTAAAGATTTCATTTACAAAGTACAATCAATGTTTTGTGTAAAATTTGTACTGTACACACAAGCTTGGAAAAGAAAGGATGCCTTGACCTTTGCACTTTGATACAGAGTTATGTTTAATCAATTTGTTTGACAATTACCGGGGTAGTCAAATCTCCCTTGTGGCATTGAGGAGGTCTGAATGATGGTACTGAAGATAAAAATGTCTAGTTTATGAACACTAGCTACTCTCCACAACTCAGTTCCTTTGAGGCAATTATACCAAGCTGACCAGAGCTACCCTGGAATACACAGCATGTGGCCAACAGCTGCAGTGAGCCAAAATGTCACACACATGTAAAATGTTCATGGTAATAAACTGTAAAAAATATGAATGGTAGATCTTGTATGATCCCAGAAGAACAACTTTGTTATTATACAATAAGAAGATCTGAGGAGCAAGGTTTAATAAATTCCTATTAGCAGCAAGTTGATAGTAAATGCAACATAAGATTTGTTTTGTCTGTGGTATAAGGACTTTCCCTAGCAGACTCTCACGCATTGTTCACTCTCCAAATTCAATTGTCTGCATGCATATCTGTGGGCAACAAAACAAAAATAGAGAGAGAGAAGAAAAAAGCCATTTATTGTCATGAGTGACTATTGCCATCAGCTAATATGATCGCATTGCTAAAAATGAGTGAAAAAATGCTGTAAAATAGATATATACAGAGTTAAAATATATTTCTCATCCACTAGACAGTGTTTCTGTTGGCACTGTGGCTTTTAAAGTTTCCCCCCACCCCACAGAATATTAAATCTATTAAGAACAATGGCATTTTCAGTGCAAGCTAAAGCAAAAAATACCTGCCCATTTCCACTGAAATGACAAATAAAACTGGAATGTTCAAAAGCAAGTTAGGGTGGGGGGGGTTGTTTGTTTTTTTGTTTTGCTTCTGCTCACAAGGCACCTTTAAGGCATGGCACTTACTGAACTCATCTAAAAAAGACTCCAAGAGAAGCAGAAACCATACATCCAGTTTTGTTTTATTGCCAGAGTCGCTTGCATACGTCAATAACGTCTGTGTAAGGCTTGCTGTGTTAGCATATCTTTCCTGAGAATGGAGCCGTGACTCTTTCATGCTTTATCATAAGTGTGCATGCTCAGAGCTGTGATCACTGTCGTGGCTGTCATCATTCGCTAGAGAGTCCCCTGTGTGCTGGAGGCTGGCTGCACCAATGCCAGAAAGCTCTGAGGGTAGCAGTGTGCCCTTTTTCACGTTCACCAGTTCCTTTTCCCGTGCTGCGGCCCCTTGCTGCCCCCCTTTTACCCGCTTCCATTTCATCCGTCGGTTCTGGAACCAAACTTTTACCTTTGAATCAAAACAGAACAAAACATAGTCATTTGTGTGCCCTGTAGCACCACTGACTAGTGGTGAACTTGCATACATTGATTCATTTAAATATACACAGTCTTAATATTGGATTGTTGACAATATTAACAAGCCAGTATTAACAAGTTCACAAAAAGCCCAGAGATAAGAAAAGGTGTGTGCATTTGAGTGAACAGAGTGCAAAGAGAAGAGGGAGATGGAGACAGAGGCTGGCGAAGTTTAGCGCTCTGGGACAAACAGCCAACTGCACCCATATTGCAGCCTGTATTCTTTATGCAGTTTCTTGCCAGACCCCCACCCCAAATTTTGGAGCCAGTACTGGAAGGCAGAATGTGCCAATATGAATAAACTTTATGTGAATTTTTGTGGGCTTCTACTGGTATATTTATAATTTTTGTGTGGTCATCTCAGCTTCCTTTTCTATAACAGCTGTATATATTACTAAGTATTTTATATATTACATGTAAGTACATTTTGGAGCTAACAAAAAGAGCTCAAGAAGCTATAGGATCTTCCACCAGCATTCGCTAATGTGCCTTCATTAATATAAGGTTCACCGACTTTTCAATCAATGACAGATTGGTCAACGTGGTGATAACATGCAGAAGCACAAGGCATTCGTTCTGCACAACTGGAATAACAGAAAGAGATTGTTCTTTAAGACACCATTATGCTTACTGTAGATCTGCAGTGTCCATATTGTGCCTTTCTGAAAGCAAAGCTGGATAGAAAAGTCTACAATGTATAAAAACCAAGTCCCCATTGGTGTGTTCTTGGGTATCATTGATGATTTTTGTTTCTGAGCTTTAAAAAGAAAAGCCATGAGTGCATAATGATAGCATGAAACACTATGCTTCATAGTTAACAAAGCTATAGCACTTCTGCATGCTAAAACTGAAAGTGAAATGTCACAGGGCAAGAATAGGATTTGAAAATAAAAACAAAAACTGTCATTCACGTTGGTTGGCTTGTTTTGTTTTCAGGCCACTAGGATAACAACACTAAATTCAAAAATCTCACAGCAGGGCAAGAGAATTCCAGATTTGTTAGAAAATGCTAAACTGGCACATCCATGCTGCTAGACAGCTTGTCAGAGCCAAAGAAGCAGGCTAGTAAAATAAAACTAATATAAGGAGGAAAGTATTTATTGCTAGCTACTCTGATGTTAGGAAATATTGTTACGCCATCTGTCAAAACCTTTCACAAAAACAATGTCAAAGGGCTCATAATGTTTGTACTATTCATGCAGTTCTTTGCGGTAAATAATATATGTCACTTTTCACAATGAATTTCCTCTAGTAAAATAGTGGTGTGTTGCTGGTGCCAAACACTGTATTAAGTTATAATGTTTGGGACTATGGCTCTTATACAAATCTAGAAAGTTCAATGTACTATGGGTTAGTCTATCTACCAGTAAAAGAATATCACATGTGTTCTCATAAGAGTGTTATTCTCTCTCATGCACACATAGAGCATAAGAAAAAAATGGCAAGATTAGACTATTCAAAGGCATTCGGCAATACATCTTTGAAAAGCACTAAAAGAACAACGTAGGACAAACCTGTCATTATTAGATGATTAGATGATATACCGAGTACGTAACTGGAAGGAACACTGAGCCATGACAGTGCATTTGCACAGCTTTTACAAGATTTCATAAAACTGTGGTTCAGTACAAAAATTATATGTCCAGTACACAAATTATATCATTTATCTTCACATCTAGTGCCAGGGTATGGCTGAAAGGCTTCTGATAAGTGGGACCTAAGTCAGTCTGGGGGTCTGGTTAGCATTTCGAGACCTCTTAGGAATCCCATACTATATCACCTTGAGTTCATTATGAATGACAGGAGTAGATATGGATCTAATAAATACATATGTTACATGTGGAAACAAGAGTAGCAGGAGGAAGCCAAGAATCATGTAAAGAAAGTGTGATCTGATATGAAAATGCTTTGTGCTCTTCATCTCAAATTAGTTAGCTCTGCTGAAGTGTGGGGCTGTGCCACAGTATTTTACTGTTGGCCAACCATGGATGGGTCAACAGTGTGATCCTAAACAGAGTTACTAGGCTTGCCAAGTCCCCCCGGGGGGCAGGGAACCCCCCGCCCCAGAGGCCCGTTCCCCGCCACCGACGGATCGGGAACCCCACCCCCAAAGTACGTGACGTGCATGTCACACAGAAAACTCTATGGTTTCCCCTCGGATGGTCGTGGCCCTGCCCCCAGCATGCCCAGCATGATCACGTCACCTCCAGGTGACATGGTTGTGGTGCGTGTGTGCTTTGCGTGCGCGCTCCAGAAAAGAGCCGGGAGTCCCCCGTTCCAGCAAGAGGTAAGACTTGGCAACCCTAAGAGTTACACCTAAGGTTGCCAACTTTTGGACAGGGCCTGGAGATCTGAAATTTCCAGACTACAGAGATCAGTTCCCCTGGATAAAATGGCTGCTTGGGAGAGTAGACTTTATGGTACGATACTCTGCTGAGGTCCCTCCCTTCTCCAACCCTACCCTCCCTAGGATCCACATTTCAAATTTCGAGGAATTTCTCAACATGGAGTTTTTAAATCAATGGGCTTAAAATGGTTGAATTCTGGTTAGAATGGAACTGTAAGTTAACTACATTTGGTCTTTCAGGATAAAGGAATAGTAAAAACTGTATAAACCTTTAATGTTATAGAAATGGGATAGCAGTCTAGACAAATCTTTAGGAAAAAAACACTTTAAGGCAATATCTTACCAAGGGAAAAATGAGACTGTGAAATCCTAATAGCACTCTTATTTTCTCACTGCAACTGAGAGTACAAGTATGTTTGAGTAATTGTATTTTTATTTTAGATTACAGTGGAATGGCAACAAGAATGGAAAAATAGATAAAACTGCTTGAAATATAATAGGCCCAAATTGCAAAGGTCATATGTAAGAAGAGGTGTAAATTGGCAAGAGCCTGTGAGTCTAAGGAAGTGAGTAAGCCTGAGGGAGTCTAAGTCAATCTAAGGGAATCTACTTTGGCCAGCAAGGGCTGGAAGACAGCATAAGTTAAACCATCTGAGCCTTCCTCTAAATTTAGATGCCTTATGGCAAAATTCAGAAGTAGTCTATGTAAGATGAGACAACCTTTTCTCTCCAAGCCCTTCTCTTCACTTTCTATTTCCATTACACTTTGACTGTGAATAACAAAAATCAATTAGACTGTTTTCTCTATAGTGACCTTGCACTAAGATCAAGGAGACATAAGGGCAAGCAAAACAGTATAAACAGACTGAATGGTTTGTACTATACTCTTGATTCCACACTGGAGGGGTAAAAGAGAAAAAGGGCAAGTTCAATGGCCATGCATACATTTCCCAGGGTTCAGTTCCCAAATCTTGGGTAACAGGGCTAGGAAAGACTGAGAACCTGGAGAGCTGCTGCCAGTCCAAATAGACAACGCTGGGCCAGATGGACCAATGGTCTAAGTCAGAATAAGGCACTTTCATATATATGCTCAGGATGACCAAACAATCATATAAGCTGCATACCTTCTTTTGTACTTGCCAATAACCTTCCAGGACATTCAGTTGCTGACCTGAAAGTAGCAGTTGTCTTACAAAGGAATTTCAAAGGGAGATTAGAAAGAGAGACTACTGACTTGTGACTGACAATGAAGCTCAAGACAATGCACCCACCTGGTTTGAACTGCGAACTAGGTTTCCTGTCCCATTACTAATGCTGAATTCTCATATTACACCTCTGCACATCTCACCTAAATCCAATCATGCCTATTATTGTCATTCACCTGCTAATATCATTCAGCATCTGAAATCACTCCACTTCCCAATAAATATGGCAGATGGACCCCCATTCTAGCTGTATCTGAAGAAGTGAGCAATGATTCATGAAAGCTCAAACCATGCCACATATTTTGTAAAGTCTTTAAGGTGCTACTGGACTCTTGCTCTTTTCTATTGCCAACAAAGTCCTTCTGCATCCTAACAGCATGCTTGGGTCATGTAGAGAGATGCACTATTAAGAAAATTAATGGCAACACACTGCCTTTTGCATCAAACACATTCTGTACATATGTAGAAGAAGAAATGTCCTGAACTTTGGTCCCATCACCCATAAAAGGTCAATAGTTGGGGCACAGTTCTGTCTTCAGTTTTCTGAAATGACCCTTTTAAAATTTTGCACAGTTCCAACTGAAGGAACTTGATGGACTTCCAAGACACTTTTAGTTTCAGTTGAGTATTAGAGAGTTTAGAAGAAAATTAGCTTTAAACCAGAGTCCAATGAGATTAACTCTCTGAGGAAAGTCCTGGAAGGGAAGAAACTAGCAGAGCAATGAGGAAAGGCAGTCTATATCCAATTCTATCTGTTGTGGCTGTAGTCTACAAAACTTTTTTGCCAGAATAAAATGTTGTTTATCTTTAAGGTGCTGTGACAAATGTGCTGTGTCCTCAGACCAGAAGCTGGCCCTTTAAACGTGGGATCCCTCCCCCCCCCGGGCACCTGCCTTGGCCTTCCCATTGTGCTCCTCTCCCAGGCCTTCTCACCCTTGCTGTCTCTTAGACTTCAGTCCCCAGAGCTGTCGTCCCTGCTTCACCTTCTCTTGGTGAGTTTTATCACCTTCTCTTGGTGAGTTTTATCACCTTCTCTTGGTGAGTTTTATCACCTTCTCTTGGTGAGTTTTATCACCTTCGGTGGCTAGTAGAGTCTTTTCTTGCCCTTCCCAAAGCTTTTCCTGCTGTTGCCACCTCTATTCCCACAGCCTGCAGCTGAGAGCTGCTTCACCATTCCCAGCTGTTGCTCTGCTCTTCCAGCCATGTGCAGACTCTTGAGTGTCTGCTGCTATTGTCTCCACCACCACCCCATCACTCACTGCCTGCTTTCAAATGTGCAGCTTGCCCCCCACAAGTTCTGCATCCCTGCCAGCATCTCCTCAACCTCCCAGCTGACTTCTCTCAGTTTGGCTGCTTGAAGTTTCCTGATGCTGCTCAGGC